ATACCCTCTCCAGTAGTGTTAGTTATACAGTGTTTATAAAAGCCCCTCAGACATGACTGACATGTTCTAATATTATCAGATGAAAAACTAAATTATCAGACATGCTGTCTCATCTGCTGCTTTTCTAAACTTGCAAAAAGTAACAAAACCATTTGAAAGCCACTATTTGTGGATTCTCTGAAAGTTTCCGTGGAGTGTGTGGCAACTTATTTTTTCAGTCATTTTTGGAAATAGTGATCAATTTGGATTAATTCACAGCCTATGTTTAATTACATTTAAAATTAGTTGTTTGACATCCCCAGTTATAATAAATGTCTACAGATGAGATCAAACAAAACAGATGAGAATTGCCCTTAAGCTGTTTAACTTGGACCAAGCATTTTAGGTCACAGATAGATGTAGCTTAGGGTCTCTGTCTATACACCTTATAAGACAATTTAGGTGATGGCATGTTGTTTTTCTGCTATTGAACTGTTTTCTAATAATGTTGTGTTAAATAAAGTGAAGGAAGGAGAGAAATAACGTTTCCCTAGCAGTTTTTAAAAATTTCCCCATGTAATCCGATTAATCGATTAATCGTATCGAGACCCCATCCGATTAATCGATTATCCAAATAATCGTTTGTTGCAGCCCTAGTGGCCAATTGGGACGTGCCATGTGTTAACAAACAACCCTGAGAACATCACGCCTTCTTTCAGATAGAGGGCGCTCTGATTTGTGGGTAAGAACATATATATATGTGCATGCAATTACTTTAACTTATCTTGTCATGTGTATGCGTGTATGGCTGATTAGCTTGTCACGTAGACTGATCATCAGACAAATGGATCATTGCAGGACAATATTCATTTCAACCTTATTACCTTAGGCACAGATTAATCAAAATATTTCATTTAACCATACTATCCATTCATTATATGATTAATTAACTCATATGAGCTGAAAATGTTCACTTTTATTTAGAGGCAGGAGGAATCCTGTAGAAGCAATAAGAGGAAAGCTTAAGGCCTTGAAACGGGAACAGTTTTGTTGACAAAATGTTATCCTGTATTCAAAGCTGCAGAGGCCTGGACTTCAGCTGATAGAATATCAGAATCCAGCAGATTAAAGGCACCAGATGCAGACTTATGTCTCCATATGACCGGATACTGAAGAGGTCAAACTGTAGATGAAAAACTGACCATTTCTGGACGCTACATAACCCCCCCCCCTTGTCAAGGACACGGGGTCCTGGCAGAAACCACGAGTTGTTGAATAATCCCAGAGGCTCTAAGGACTCAGTAGACGAATGAAAGGTTAGTTCCCAGGCATGGAGCATCAGGTGGGGAAAGCAACCCCCCACACTGGAGAAGTCAATAGTAATCCAAACAGGAAATAGTGATCCCAAACAGGAAGTAGTAATCCAAACAGGAAATAGTAATCCCACTTAGCGGAATCCATAGGCAGGAAGCAGATGGGCAGGTACAGACCAGACCCCAGCGATCCGTAGAGAGCCAGGGAACCATAGGACATCCAGAAAAAGGAGATGAAGCAGAGATGTTATCCTAGGAAGCGAGGACATCTAGCGAAACTCAGCAGAGGAGCAGAGCATACACAGAGGGCACTTGAATGTAGACACATAGATTTCACCTGATGCAAAGCAATAAATAAAAAGAAACCTAGCACTACCTGTATGTGCTATGTTAAAGCATATTATGTGAACAGAGTTCAGGTGAAAGAAAGGGATGCAGTAAACTACGTGTACTGGACAAGTGTTGCAAAAAGAACGAAATATGCAAAACCCTATAATACATGTAAGGGAAAGTCAAAGCTTTTGAGCAAAAATGTTATCAACATAGAAAAGGCAAAATAATCTGTAGCCCATAACTGGTAAAAATAAAAATGGAAGGAAAACACAAAAGAAACGTCAGAAAGGAATCAGCTGCAAGCAAAAATAATGCAAATATGTAAATATTTGGAATGTATCCGTTAAAGAAGTTAAAAAATAAAATAGAAGAAGAAACACTAGAATGTAAATCAGTGTTGTTAGTAATCAAACCTATATGTGAATGCACCACAGAAGGAATCAGTGACTTGTAAACAAAATTGTAGTACAAAATGAACTTAAATCAGTCATAAAATGTATAAAAATTGCTTAACTATTCAAAATCTCTAGGAATGGAAAAACAAAAGAAAATGGAATTTTAAGTTAGTGGAGTTACTCACTTCGAACTGTTTTGAACTCTGCACTGCAGGTGCTCTCCATGTCCAACGTGTATCAGCCAGGTCCTTAGTCAACTTAAAGTTGCACACATTTTTCCGCTAAGTTTTCTTTCATAAATCCCAAAGTTTGCATGGAAAGTTGCGGTCCATGCGTCTCAGCCAGCCACCTGCTCTAGCAACTTTTCTCGGGCGGGAGACAGACGACGGGCATTCGCTCAAGTTTCGTATCCAGCCAGCAGCCCCTCTAACATGTCTGACCAAACAGTTAAATGACACAGCATTTCCCCCATTCAGCCAGCAAAATAAAGTACATCAATATAAATGTATTTAATGATGAAAAGGAGCAGAAACTGCTTGGATGATCCGCTAGTACAGTCAATAACCACAGCTGGCCCTTTGTGTCTAAATAATTCCATGACTAACATCCAAACACGAACACACACACACACACACACACACACACACACACACACACACACACACACACACACACACACACACACACACACACACACACACACACACACACACACACACACACACACACAAAACTAACCCCAAAATTCCACTATCTCCGCTCCGGCACGAACTCCGCAGCAAAAACGGTCCCGTTGTAGTCAATCAGAGCTGTTCCACTACTGCGGCCGTCCGGCGTCCGGCAAAAATAGGATCGATTCTATTTTTGCCGGACGCCGGAGCACCTCCGCAGTAAATGGACAGAAATCACAACCGCCCAACAGGAAAAGGAGCAAGCACAACTTCCGTTATTTCACAATAAATCGATAAACAAAAAGCGTTTGTTGTTTCGTATGCACAGGTTTAACAACTTTTAACAACTATCAACGGCGGTTGAACTTTAAATGCACAAAAATAAGCCATAAATACAGTTTCCACTATCAAAGTAGTCACACTTTGTTGATCCAAACACTGCTGATCTCTCAACACAAACGATGGGCAGATTAAACAGTTCACGTCGATGCTTCTCCCACACAGTGGGTGTTTGGATCTAACTTCCGCGTTTGCTTGGACTGTATCGCAAGATCTCGAAAATCCCGTGCATGCCTGTTTGCGCACCTCAGGTCTCCGCACTGGAGCGGAGCCGTTGTAGAGCGGGTACCAGTATAATTTGAGTTCGGAAGCGAGTGGCAGCGGAAAGCGGGGGTGGAGCGGAGCGGAGATAGTGGAATTTTGGGGTAAAGTTCAGAGCCCAGGCTGAGGTCTTTCTCAGAGCTAGCTCGGAAGTCATGTGGCTCTGATGCTCATTAATTATTCTGACTTTTAAGCATTAAATTCGCCCCTTCAGAGTTGTCATGAGTGTAAACTAGGTCTGTTGAACCAGGCTGTAAACATATTTATGTCTGCTGTGAAATTGGTATTTTTAACATGGGAGTCAATGAGGATTTGCTCACTTCTGACACCAGCCCCTAGTGGATGAGGGTGGAACTGCAATTTAAGCTACTCCTTGGCTTCAAAAAATGTAGACCATAATAACTTTTACCACCTAGTTTTAAGTAAACTTTTTATTTTATTTTAGCATCTAAGTGTTTTTACATATGTCTGTATTGTGCTGTTTATTTTATTTTATTTTACTTTATTTTATTTTATTTTATTTTATTTTATTTATTCCCCACTGTTGTAAAGTGTCCTTGGGTGTAATGGAAGGCACTTATTAAATAAAATGTATTATTGTTATTATTATTCATTTTCCACCATTACACTCCACTACAATCAAGAGAAACAATGCACCTCTGTGGGAGTGAGTTCCAGAGGGTGGGGGCAGCAATGGAGAAAGCTGTGTCTCTCCAGGTTCAGGGCTTGGTCATGGTGGGAGAGGAGGGAGAGGGATGGGACACGGTGGTGGAGCAGGTCAGCGAGGTGGGAGGGGCCAGGGTAGGGAGGACTCTGAGTGAGAGGAAGCCAATGGAGGTGTTGAATGGACAAGAGAGATGTGGTCATTGGAGCAGGTGTTGGTTAGGAGATTCTGGATGTGCTGAAGCTTGGTGAGGGGTTTGGATGAGACACCACATAAGATACCGTTGTATTAGTGGATTTGTGATGTGATGAATGCATGAATAAGGGTTTCAGGGACAGAAAAGAAAGAAGGACAACCACTGACAAAAATTCAATCCAGTCACCCGACAAAAACTGTTATCCAGAGCACCTCCTCCACCAGTGCACACCTGTGATATATCACAGTTAAACTTGTATAGAAACACAAACGCCAATATTTAAATGCACTTACATCTCCTGACTTAACACAAAAGAGATGCAAACGATGCAAAAACGTGAGTTTTTCCTTACAGCTCGCCTTTAAAGCATGAGCAAAGTGGAGCAGAAGTCCCTTTAATAACTTTAGTTTTATCAGAGGACATTATTGATGGTGCAGTGACAAGAGAGTCAGGATTGAAAGACCCAACATGAGACTGGCTCTCCAGCTGCTTCAAGGTTTCCGAGAACATTCCTGTTGGAAGTGTGCTTGGAGCTGCAGCTGCTCTGTGGCACACGCAGGAGCCCGTATCCTCCAACTGCTGACATCACTGCTGTTTCTGACACCAGGAGCCTTTTACACTAATACCTCCCTCTGGCTGGAATTCCTCCCTGTGGCTAAATTCCATGTCGGTGAGGACGTAGAAAAGAGATGTGCTTAGATCCACGAGTATGCTCAGTCGGACACATCTGGATTTGTTTGTGCATGCACAGTTTTCTGGATTTGAAGTCCCGCCGTCTTTGAGACGCCCTGACCTATTCTACAACCTATGTGGTACAGACCTGTTCTACAGCTTTTGTGTGTGTTTTAGGACCTGTGAGGGCTTTGATGAACAGCCGTGCCATGTGGGAGATGTTCAGGAGCTATGTGGAGATGCTGGTGAGCACAGCCCTGGACCCTGACATGATCCAAGCACTGGAGGACACTGATGGTGAGCACTCAGGAGGAGTAACTCGGTGTGGCCGATGCAAGCTAAAGCTGTTCGCTGAGGTCTCCTCTCATATACACGCACACACCTGTACACCTCCTGCTGTTTCCGGTTACGCTCCTTCTCTTTCCAGATGAGCTGTACCTCCCTCCCATGAGGAAAATTGATGGCCTGCTAAGCGAGGAGAAGAAGAGACTGCTGAGGAGAATCAACATGAGTTCTCAGCACCAGGTATGGCTTCTGTTAGATCTGGATCTACATCAAACATCTGGGTGAAAATCTGTTAAACTGATGATGTGGTTTATCTGGGCTCCAGGAGGCCCTACACCTCTTCCCCATAATGACAGCAGACCCTCTGGAATCTGGAGCTGTCAGGGTCCATCTCGGTGGGGAAGGTTACAACCGGAAAACTCTCAATCGCATCAAGAAGAGTATTCTCAAGCAGCAGGTGAGCAGTTTGATGTTCAGCCCTTCTTACCAGGACAGGGACCAGGACCTGGTAAAGTCAGCTGGACTCCTGGGGAAGATGTAAACAGACATGAAGGAAAGGATGGCTGAACCGGTGCTGTTGGGTGGGTGTAGGGAACCGCTGCAGTGTTGAAGCTTTGGAGAGAGACATGAAGACGTGATCTGCTGTCTGTTGCAGGATCTGAAGCTTCCAATAGAAACGTGTCGACTCTACAGCCTGTATCACTCTCTTCACCACTACAAGTACCACACCTTTCTACACTGCAAGAAGGAGGTGAGACTGGGTTCTGTTCTTAAACCACAGCGTGGACTAAAGTTAGGGGAAAGTCCAACGTAACGAAGCTTGAAGAGGTTTGCTGCCTCCAGAGTGTTAGCTGGAGCATCTTAAAACATCCTTCTCTAGAAATGTTTGTTGTTTAATCCCGGCGCACCTGGTGGTGAGGTGGTGACACCTCCTGCCTTTATTCTGAGGGAACCAGGGGTCAAAGACATCTGATGTTCTGCAAATGATTACTGTACCCACAACACCATGGCCTGTCCTGACCTAAACCTTGTTGTTTCCTGAGCAGACTGATAACATCGAGCAGGCCGCTGAAGATCCTGGTCAGGAGGAGGTGGTGCAGCAGTGCATGGCCAACCAGGGCTGGCTGGAGAACCTTTTCAACTCCTTTATGGAGCTCTTCAGCCTCAGTGCCAAGGCCTGAAGCAGAACTTGTCCTTGATCATCCACTCGATATCAGAAGCCAGAGACATCCTGCATCTGTGTAACTAAAGAGACATGACAGAGGCTGTGCGGACGTGCATCGTGCTCTGAGAAGATCCCGCGTCCGTCTGCTGGTGGGACCTTAATGCTCCAGAGTTCTTCTATGATTGAGTCCACCTGCAGTGATGGAGATGAAGAAGCCTGTGAATGCTATGAGTTTTTTTTTTACCCCAAATTAAAAGAAAATTGTGTTATTTTTGCTGCAAAAGAGATTTCTGTTAACTTCCATAATACTGAAACACACACACACACACACACACACACACACACACACACACACACACACACACACACACACACACACACACACACACACACACACACACACACACGTGCTGTGTATAAGGACAAATTAGTAGCAACAGTTTCTACGATGACATTTTTAAATGACCCTGATAAGGGACCGTCTGTCGTTCTTATTTTTGATGGACATTTTAAAAGTGTGTAGATAAAATGATCCGTGGCAGTAAAACCTGGAAGGGGTTTTAAGGACTATGTGATAGTTTCTACCTGCCTCAGTGGAACCGGGACAAATCATGTTGAAAGGATGTTAAATAAGAGGCTTCAACGCCACCAAAATAAAAGCTGAGAGGAAGCGTGGCAGAGCAGAGCCTACATGTTCGTGTTTAATGTTCATCCTTTTTATCTGTTGTTGATGATTTTTGGTTTGACCTCAGCGAGGAGAAACGTGTAAATATTGTACAGCTGCTCCGTTCACTCTTCTGAACATGAAATAAAAGTCTCCATGTGACAAATGAGAGGGTGAATAAGGAGATGTGTCCTGGACTCTGGCTCATGATGAGAGTTCATGTGTGTTCGTCCAAGTTGGACGTGTGTGTGTGTGCGTGTGTGTGCGTGTGTGTGTGTGTGCGTGTGTGTGTGCGTGTGTGTGCGCGCACATGTGTGTGTGCATGTGTGTGAGTGTGCGTGTGTGTGAGGACTCCCAGGGCTTAGAGGTTGAAGGGGGGGAGCACTCAGAGGGAGATTTGGATGATAGTCTGATGGAGGTGAAGGAGAAGCTGTGAGTGTTTCTACCCGCAGGTAAGAGTCGTACTTGAATGAAACTGGCAATTCTTTATTCTGACATTTAACATTTTTTTCTAAATTTGAACTGAATTTGAATGAAGAGAAATATCAGCCCTTTGAGTTGCATTATTTTTTCCTTTTAGAGTCTCACCCAGTAATCGGATTAATGTCTGTTTTTATTTATGAGTTACCATGTTTCCTCATTCGTCATCCTTTCAGAGGAGTGATTACAGTTCTCTGTAAGAAGCCTGTGTCTGATCTTGGGTCACTGGTGTTGTTTTAGTGGGCCTGAGAGCAGGGGCGCAGATAGGATTTTCAAACTGGGGAGAACAAAGTTCCAATGTACCCTCCCCCAAACACACACACACACACACACACACACACACACACACATGCACGTTAGAGCTGAGGAAAATAATCAAATAATCGATGCATGGGGATGCGGGCATAAACGATTCTGCATCGTAGAAGAGTACGCCATAATCGATTATAGTGGAATGTAGTTTTGTTTTTTTAACGGCGGCACCAGCGCAGCATCCAAATCTGTCAGTGAGTGTCCTCCACATTTACCTCCGCCTTAATGTGATACTGCAGGGCTGAGCGCTAGAGTTGTAACCTAGAACCGGAACCGAATCAGCCCGACCGGTTCTGTTGGATTTAATTATTATTTCAACTCGAAGCGCTCAGTCAGACTGAGTGCTGTGATGTCGGGAGATCCGGTCTTGGGGAGGGGGCGGGGTCAGTGACGGCGGCTGCAGCGTGATCGTCTGTCTCTTTTATTTAGGAACACGGAGAAGTTAAAAGGAGAGAGAAACAGAAGATAGAAGTTCTTGTTCCACTTTATTCTTTTGTTTCTTGATGATAAACTGATGTTAAATTCAGCTTAAAGAGAAGCTGGGAGGAAGCTTTGGTCAATTTTAAGTTACAGGAGATCTAGTCTCCTATCTGCTCCTCCAGAGACAGCATGGACATGAGGGTCCCACAGGACAGGTTAGTGGAAAGGTTTGTAGTTAGCTGGTTAGTGAAGGAGATCCATCACCTGGGTAATTTAATCCTAATCCAGCCCACAGCCTTCTGCTGGTGTTATCAGGAAGAATAAAACACACATCTTAAATATTATTGGAGTGTAGAATTTGTTTAATGTTTTATTATTTTCTGCATCAAACAGAACTTTATTCATTCTCCAACACTTCAGAAATGAACCACTGGGTTCCAATAAAATAACAAACTAAGTCAAATAATTTCATTTGGTGTTATTTCTGACATCCTTCAACTGTGGCATAAATATTTGACTCTAAAGCTGCTCAGAGACATTAAACAGTCATAAATGAACCCATTATGGATTTTATTATTACATTATGTGTCCTGTAGGTTTTCAGTACTTTTTTTTAGATTTTGTGAGTTTTTCAAAGCGTGTTTTCTCAGCCTGAGGCGTGCTGTTGAACGAGGAAACAGATGTTTTACTTTGTTAAATCTTCTTAAATGTTTAAATATTTTGTCCTAACCTGTTGTGAATGGAGAGCTTTTGAGGGATGGCAGGTTGTGTCAATTATGTTTTGATAAAAAAATAAAATAAAATAAAAAGCAATTATCTGACATCTTCTATTTATAGATGAAAACAAATCAATATGAAATAATCGTGATGCATTGGGATATTGAATCAAATTGAATCGTTGACCCAATAATCGTAATCGAATCGAATCGGGAGACAAGTGAAGATTCACACCTCTAACACACGCACACATACACACACATGCATGTACACATACACATACTATTGCAAGCGCCTTAACTAGAGCTAAGTCAGTTTGTGTAATTTCATCCAATGTTTTACGTGAAAACTAACACTTTTACATATGTGTTTGAAGCCATTATGCAGTGGAACGCTGACAGCAAAGCTCTACCTGATCAACACTATCCAAATCAGCCATTTGTTATTCTTCAAATATATATTTTTTAAATCTTTTATTTCAATCAAAATGTATAATATAAACACAAACAAATACAACATACATTAACATAGTGAAAAAAAAGAAAAAACATTTGAATGAAAAGGAGCAGATAGAAGAAACAATCTTTTAATTTCTGCCCCTTTTTACGAAATAAAATTATCTGTCAAACAAACACAGTATAACCTCAGTCACTTTCTAATATTTTCATGTCTAATCTTTGACATTATAATTCACATTTTCATAATTACTAAATACATTAGATTTTATACATTTTTTTAAATATAGCAAGTGAAGTTGATTCTTTAAATTCCTTGTTAATGGCATTCCACAATCTTACACCATTTACAGAAATGTTACATTCCTTCACTTTGGTTCTGAATCTAGGTTTCTCAAAGACATCAGTTCATTTTAACATGTACCCACTTACTCTCTTATGAAACATTTTCTGAATATTAGTTGGTAGATTACTCGTATTCGCTCTGTACATTATTTGCAATATTTTCCACTCTACCAAGTCAGGAAATTTCAGTATTTTGTATCTAATGAATAATTGATTAGTGTGATCTCAATAGTTACTGTTATTAATGATTCTCAATGCTCTTTTTTGCAAAATGAAAAATGGTTGTGTAAAAGTTTTGCAAGTGGCTCCCCAAATTTCTAAACAATAAAATAAATATGGTTCAATCAGTGAGTGATACAATGTTAATAACCCCGACAAATTTAGTAGAAACTTGACTCTATATAATACACCTATGGCTTTGGCAATTTTCCCCTTTAAATAACCTACATGTGATTTCCACGTGAGACTCTCATCGAACATGACTCCAAGAAATTTGGTTTCTTTTACTCTTTGAATTTCCATTCCATCTATCATTAAAGATACATCACAGCTTCTTCTGTTATTAAACAGTATAAAGTTAGTTTTGTTCAGGTTCAGTGACAGTCTATTTACATCAAACCATTTTTAACTCAATTCACTGTTTATCACTTGAGTTACTTCATTTGCATTTAATCCTGAATAAAACAATGTAGTATCATCCGCAAATAAAACGGTGCCAAGTAAATTCGACACATTTACCAGGTCATTAATAAACAATATGAACAGTTTAGGTCCGAGGACTGACCCTTGTGGCACACCATAATAAATATCTTTTAATTCAGATTTAGCATTATTTATTTGAACAAACTGTTTTCTATTGCGTAAATAACTATTAACCCATTGATGCGCCACCCCTCTTATTCCATACCGGTGTAATTTAAGAAGTAACCTTGAATGATCAATGACATCAAATGCCTTTTTTAAGTCAATAAAAACACTAATGAAATGGTTTTTATTGTCAATTGCTGATGAAATTTTATCTACTAAATCCATAACTGCTATTGCTGTTGAATGTTTGGTCCTAAAGCCATACTGTTCATGATTTAAAATTGAATTTTCGTCAATGAATTTGTCCAACCTTAATGCAAACACTTTTTCTAATATTTTGGAAAACTGTGGAAGCAGTGACACTGGCCTGTAATTAGTGAAACTCTGTTTATCACCGCTCTTAAATAATGGAACCACCTTGGCAATTTTCATTAAATCAGGGAAGACTCCTGTAGATAGTGACAGATTACAGATGTAAGTGAATGGTTCAATAACAGATTCAATTATAGCACAACACTTGTTGTTCTAGTGACTGGAGTTCTTCCTGTGGAGCATCCTCAGTTGTGTTTCTATCTCCAGTAACTCTGGCATAAATCCTATGTCTTGTTTCCAAACCAGTTATCACCAAGTCATCCCTTCTGGTATACTGCTCCAGTTCATCCACCCTCTGTTCCAATACCATGATCTTCTTGTCCTTCTCTGCAAGCTTTAATTTCAGTGTCGACCTCGTCCATTAATGATAGTAGTTGATCCTGTTGTACTGTTAGCTTAGACAGCTCGGCTGACACAAAATTCAATGATTTTTTAAATTTCCTCCATATCTTCCTCAAGTTTCTCCGTTTTTCTAGGAGGGGCCATTGTATTAGGCTTACCTCTCTCTCAGTCCTGGTTGCCGGTGAATCTGGAGCCTGGAGCCCCAGGCTGAGCCTGATGGTTGGATCAGGTGGCTGGTATTGAGGTGATGGTGGAACCGGGCTGCTGGGCCTGGAGGCTACTGGTTGAGCCTGAACCTGGCCGTGACTTGTGGGTGAGTTGGGTCCAGGTACAGCACCTGGAGTTGGACCTGGTAGTTCCTGGTGTTGATTCTGATAGATCCAGGCCAAGCAGATGAAGAAGGATCCTGATAGCTTGGCCTGGTGGCTGGTGTTGAGTTTGACCAACCTCTTGTAAAAAAATCATATTTTTTTTTAGCTTTATCTCATGTGATACTGTCATTTCCTCATGAGAAATACCCCCAAACAATTTTTTGGCTGGGTGTTGACAGGAAGACGGATAGAAAACTCAGCTGGTCGAGTCAGCACGTTGGCAGTGAAACGTTCCCGCCGGCCGGGTGGAACTTGGTCGAACGGAAATCATTGGCGGGTAGGCGCGGCTGTTTGGTGATTGAGAAGGAGTGGGGAGACATGGGGGACTGTGAGAGCGAAGACAGCAATTTAGAGTTGAGTTTTCGGCGGGAGTCGATGAAGGGAAAGAGGAGTTACGACTCTGCTGACGATAGTACTAGGAGACAAAGAAGGGTTGTGTCGAGTGAAAGTGCTGATGAAGAAGGAGGAGGGTTCAAAATCATATTGAGGTTCGGTGAGGGAAATGGAGTCAACATGGTGAACCCAGTTAAGCTAACGCCTATCTTAAAAAATCAAGTTGGAGA